CGACACGGGAACGACACCGCGCGCCGAGCACACGGGCCGCGTTTATCACCTGCAGACAGACAGACAGACAGACAGACAAGAAAAATTAACATTATTTGAACATCCATTCCTCTATAGGGGTTTTTTTTTTCTTTTTGCAAGAATTTTTGTTAGGCTTGTATAACGACTTGTTCAGTTTTGTGCTCTTCATCGTGCGGCCTTTTGTTTGTCTATAGTTCTTTTTCTAATTTACTTATGTTTTGGTTTTTTTTTAATATTTCTTTTTCCAGAATGGTAAGTAATCATGTTGTTTTATTTCTTTTATTTGCTTTTTCAGCTATTCCGAGACAGAACCATTCCAGATGCGACCTGGAGTGTTTATTTGCTATTATTTCGGAGATTGTTAGTTCATTCAATTTGACTCCAGTGATTACTTCCAGGTCGCATCTGTCACGGTTGTGTCTGGGGCAATCTAACAGTAAATGTTGTATTGTTTCCGGGGTATAGGGGGTTAGTTAATATCCGACTCGAAGGACCAATTAACAAGATTCATCATTTCCCCTGCCTTATCCTACTCCCGTAGAGCGCACCGGGTTTTCCTCCTCCAAAGCACTCTATCATCCGTCATCTCAGTCATCACTCCCTTCATCATTCACACAATCCATCCATCTCTTTCTACGTCTACCTCTACCGATGTACCACATTCATAACTAACGTCCTTGTTACATGCGATTCATCCCTTCTCATAACATGCCCCCACTCTAACCTTTTACTCCTTATTTTCTCAACCACTGGGGCTACTCTCAAACTTCCTCTAATATACTCATTTCGTATCTTATCCATTGTCAATGGATGATGGGTAAAAAGGAATTCTTGTGAAAATAGACGTGTATTGTACAGAGGTTACAAACTGGGTTGTAAAAGTACACCAATACCACCTTATATTCATTTTTTTACACACTACACACCAGTGGTAGAGACCACACAGAAGGCAGGTGTGATGTGGAAGCAATTCCATGTTTCGTCTGATGA